AGATCGCTAAGCGGAAGCGTTACAAGAACGCGGTTGGTGGAGTCGTACACGCAGCGATTCAGATCGCGGTCGATTCCGATCTAAGCGCCGAACAACGGTGCCTCCGCGTTCAACACACGTACAGCCCGGGGACGTCTCCTCCTTCTTGATCCAGCAAGGGGAGAGGAGAAGTTGAGGGAGAACTCCGGCAGCACGACAGCATGGTGGTGGAGTTTGTGGTATTCCTGCAGGGCTTCGCCAAGCTCTACGGAGGAGAAGGAAGAGTTGGAGGAGGGAGGGGCTGCGCCAGGGGGAGGGTCTAGTTCTTCTGGCAGCCCTCCCACCCCTACTATTTATAGGAGAAGGGGAGAGGGGGCGGCCCCTTCAGATCCCATCTAGGGGAGGGGCGGCGGCCAAGGAGGGAACCCTAGATGGGTTTTGGGCGCCCCCACCCCTAGGAGACTTGCCCCCCAAGCCAGGAGGAGAGGCTGCCCTAGGGGAGGCACCCCCACCTCTCCTGGTTACGTGAGATGGGGTTGGAGGGGCACACAGCCCCTTAGTGGGCTGGTGTGCCCCATCCCCTTGGCCCATAAGGCCCCCCAACACTTGTCGGAGCCTTCGAAACCCCTTTCGGACACGCTGGTCGTCCCCAGGTACCCCTGGAACAATTCTGGACTCCAATACCCTTCGTCCAATATATCGATCTTCACCTCCGGACCATTCCGGAACTCCTCGTCACGTCCAGGATCTCATCCGGGACTCCGAACAACCTTCGGTAACCACATACTATTTCCCATAACAACTCTAGTGTCACCGAACCAGTGTGTAGACCCTACGGGTTCGGGAACCATGCAGACATGACCGAGACATATCTCCGGCCAATAACCAATAGCGGGATCTAGATACCCATATTGGCTCCCACATGTTCCACGATGATCTCATCGGATGAACCACGATGTCGGGGATTCAATCAATCTCGTATATAATTCCCTTTGTCTATCGGTATGTTACTTGCCCGAGATTCGATCGTCGGTATCCCCATACCTCGTTCAATCTCATTACCGGCAAGTCTCTTTACTCGTTCCGTAACGCATGATCCTGTGACCAACTCCTTAGTCACATTGAGCTCATTATGATGATGCATTACCGAGTGGGCCCAGAGATACCTCTCCATCATACGGAGTGACAAATCCCAGTGTCGATTCGTGCCAACCCAACGGACACTTTCGGAGATACCTGTAGTGCACCTTTATAGCCACCCAGTTACGTTGTGACGTTTGGTACACCCAAAGCATTCCTACGGTATCCGGGAGTTGCACAATCTCATGGTCTAAGGAAATGATACTTGACATTAGAAAAGCTTTAGCAAACGAACTTCACGATCTTGTGCTACGCTTAAGATCGGGTCTTGTCCATCACATCATTCTCCTAATGATGTGATCCCATTATCAATGACATCCAATGTCCATGGTCAGGAAACCATAACCATCTATTGATCAACGAGCTAGTCAACTAGAGGCTTACTAGGGACATGTTTTGGTTTATGTATTCACACATGTATTACGGTTTCTAGTTAATACAATTATAGCATGAACAATAGACAATTATCATGAATAAGGAAATACAATAATAACCATTTTATTATTGCCTCTAGGGCATATTTCTAACAAGCACATGTTATTTTAGGAGAACGTGTGCAAGTCAATACACCAATGCACATAGCTACATACCGTGAGATGTCTCCCACCCATTCGCTCATGACCGCAAGGGCATCGTTAGGTTTTCTCTGCCTCATCTTTTATGGCCTTAGGGTCATTGGAGGCGCGATTGACCTAGGCCTTTGCTCGCGGGAGAGCTACATTTTTAGATGTATTTTAAAGTTTTATTAGAGTTTGTGTCCTTCTTAGAGAGACGAGACAATGTCGGCTTTCTAAAGATGGAATAAGGTCCTCATCGCCTAGCCTCCATTTTGATGGTCCTTCTAACGTTGTCGGAGGATGTGTGGAGGGTTTTTTTGGCAGATCTCGCGGGATTCGGTCAGCATTGTTCTTCGGTGGATCCGCATGGACCTGGTCTTTGTTCCTCTGTGGTTGCATGTCTACATGATGGATCTTTTCGATCTACGCTTCTCTTTATCGGTGGCGGTTATTGTTTTGGTGCGCTGGTCATGTGGGGCCTTAGCACAACAACTTCCCGAGTGTCTACTACAACAAGGTTTGTCCGGCTCCAATGAGGGAGGGGTGATGATGATGGCGCGCCTTCGGCTCACTCTAGTGCTTGTAGTCATCGTTAGTTGGTTTATGGACCTAGATGTAATTTTACTTCCGATGTTCTTTCTAATAGTTTGACAGATGATGAAAACATTGGAAGTTTTTTCCTCAAAAAAAAGAAAGAAAAGAAGAACATGTGCACACTCAAAAAACAAAATGTGAGCCCATGCTAGATTTTTTTTTAGAAACACCTGCAACTTTATTCATACTCATAACAATTTCAGGTACACTGGTTTGGAACTAAGATCCAAGAAAATGCAAAGCAAATCCTATGACTAAGAATTACAATAAAATCTCTTGAAATCACCTTCTTTGCAGTATCAATCTCTGCTCGAAGAAATACTCCAAAGACTTTGGTAAAGAAGCTGCAATTGGACTAGAGCAACCGTGTTGTCACTCTTTCACCCACACGAACATTACCAATAATGGTTTTTGAAAGCGACTTGAGTCGCCCATCCAAAACGATGGGAAGCCTTAATCAATGAATGTACTTGGGCCGGGGATGATCCCCTAGAAATGCAGGTCATCGAATCACTATATCTTCATTATGGTGTCGATGCAAGATTTCACCTTCACAAAGAATCAGACCAACAAAAAATCTTGACACAACAATATAAACTCATCAAATCCAAATAACGGATCTGCGAGGACAGAAAACTCAAACATCATGGCACCGTCAAAAGGACGAGAGAAAATTTATTCCTCGCAAAACTGTGATGACCACTAGAAGAACGTAAAGATCTTGAAGATCCAAGGTCCCCCAACCTCTTAGCGTCAAGATGGCAGCCGGAGGCGAGGGGACCTAAATTTCTCAGATGACGGCCACGACGGCGGCACGAGAAAACCCTAGCAAACGTTGAGCACATGCTAGATGACTGGTATCAAACCAAAGCGGGCCATATGATGAATGGCCCACATCATTACGGGGCTAATGATCAAATCCTCACGAGGCACCGCCGCTGCTCTCATGCTTCTTCCTCGAAACCAGTATGACCGATCCATACTTCTGAGGTTTGTCCCGCCTTATTCGATCCTACCATAGGTCACACCTCCATCCAGTTTCGTCCAAGGTAATACACTGATTTTACCTGTTATAGTTTTTTGTCCAGCAGAAGGAGGCCAGGGCCAGGGCAGATCCGACGATGCGCCGCCAGTTCATCAACCTGGTGCTGGGCTGCCACAAGACCCGCTCCTTCGTCCTGCACCGCATCAGGTCGTCGAGCCTCTTCCACCCAAGAACACGAACCGCCGGCACATCGCCGCCGCCGCAGGTGGAAGAGGCCGCACTGCCGAAACCCGCGCTGTCGTTCGGCCTTCTCCGCAAGGAATGCGTCCCAGGCGGGACCTCAATGTTCATGCCTTTTGGCGGCAGCGGGGACGGGATCCTCGGCGTAGACCCGAGCGGCGACGTCCTGGCCTACGACGCCCGCCTGAACAACGTCAGGATCATGCCCAGGCTGCAGGGGTGCATGGCCGACCCCGTCGCCTTCAACGTCGGCGACGCCCTATACCTCCTGGGAGAGGCGCCCCAGCAAGTCTGGTCGGACCAACCAACCCTGCTTCCAAGTTCTCAAGCACGGCGACCCTCCGGAAGACGTCTACGTGTTTCCCAGGTGGCACTGGCGCTCCCTCCGGCCCCGTCCTTACGTGAACACCGCCGGGTACGAGCCCTCGGGCGCCGCCACGATCACCGCCTCCACGCTGGTCGGCGACGACATCTGGGTGTCGGCCGACGGCATCGGCACCTACGCCTTCGACACCGCCAAGCGCAGGTGGAGCAAGGCCGGCGGGTGGGAGCTCCCGTTCTGCGGCGGCGCCGAGTACTCCCCCGAGCTCGGCCTCTGGTTCGGCCTCTCGTCTCGACACAAGAAGAAGCTCTTCTGCGCCGCGGACCTCTCGGCGGCGGCGGGTGCTTCCGGTGCGCCCGAGCTGCGCCATGTCTGGAGGAAGGAGCTCGCCGCCAACCCTGGGGACTGGGAGCTGCTGGACTCGCTCCTCGTGCATGTCGGCCATGGAAGGTTCTGCGTCGCCAGGTTCTACCACGTCTATGCAGATGAAGAGTGCCCTATTGCAACGGAGAAATTCGCAGTCTTCACCGGCGTGGAGGTGGAGCGCTGCAAGGCTGGTGGGGGGATCAAGATGGTCAGGCACAAATCCATACGCTACGAAATTGATGCCTATATCCACTGGGTGTTTTAGGGGCGAGAGCTTTTGATGCAAGGATTGTTCAAGTTGCACTGGTTTTTGCACGTTGCTTTTGCTCAAACCAATCAGGTGCACATACACAACAAATCAACAGTCGCAAAGGCGGGACAAAACCTCGACGAACTCAAATCCCTGCAATGGTACACTTAAAATGAATGGTTGCACATGAATCCGCAATATCATAAATAAAATGGACAAATGTTTACATACATGGTACATCATCTCAGTCCCCTAAACCTACAACAAAGGCATTATCACATCATCATCACAGTACACTTTCAGCAACAATGGCGTCTAACTCCTCTTTAAAATCGAACAGCAATGGCAACAACTCACGCTACACATTCCCACTGCCGGGTAATTTTACAATTTGGCTCGAATGCCTTATTGCACTTCTCCAGAAATCTGACACAAATCTCAATGTAACACTGCTACAGCCAAGTCATGTAAGTATAGCCTCCGTTCTCACCTGGGCCTCCGTCGTGCTGAGAAACCAAGATTTGGTTTTGGGCCAAGCCTAGAGCAGGCAGAGCCCAAATTGCATAGCTAAACCATCGGAGCCTCCTCGTTGTTGCCCAGCTTTTTTGTCACCATATCATAAACTGTATCGACTTTGGCAGGATCGACTTTAAACAATACATGGGCATCTTCCTTCTTGACGACATTGCCCTTGAACATCTCCTGCATCAGCACCTCCTGCATTCTCAGATAATGACTAGGTAGCAATCTGTTCTGACAGCACAGAAGTTTTTCCTGAAATAGACAAGACGGGTTGTTTCGTTATTGTAGCAAGAACCAAAAGTACAAACAAGGCGGCATCAAGAATAAATAAGCAATGTCCTTACACTGGCGCTTAATAGCTCTGCCCCAGGAAGACCAACAATGTCCCAATCATCCCATTGCTTAGCGCTTGTAGGTCCTGTGGTTTTTGGAGAATCCCTGCCACCAGCATCCAAAATGCCACTGCCTTTCTTAAGATCCAAACTCCCATCAGTCTCAAGTTTCATAGGACGATTTGTTTTGTGTCCTGATTTACTATTTGAAATAAGCTGGCCACTTTCCTTGGCTTTCAGAGCATTCGCCTCATACTCCTTTCTCCTCTTTTGCTCTATGTGTATCTTGGCTTCAGCCAGCGTACGGCATCCAGCTGAACGACATTCCTGGCATTAAGAAAATAAAATGATGTAATGAATTGTTCTTTCCAGATAAAATAAATGGTGGGACTGCAAAATGTGAAGTTAAGGGTTTGAATTTAAGAAAAAGAATACAAACATAAAAGTATGGCCATGTGAACTTTGGGGAAAGTAAAACACCTGAAGCTCTTGAATCCTCCTCCGGATTTTTCGCTCTTCAATAACACTCCTAACAAGGGCTTCATGTTCCTCCTTGGAAAGGAAACGCATGAAAACCTTGTACCGATGGTAAACTTCCTTGTCTTCATTAGTTAGATCCTTCTCCAAAGGATTAGGATATAGTAAATTTCTTTCCAATATGAACTCTTTTCTCCTTTTTCTTTCATCAAGCCTATGAAAGAAGATACTTAACTGGATGAGAAGCATAGAGAAGGTTCTCTCACATCTAATACTCTTTGTGTCATTAAAGATTAGACATGGTCTGTTGGGGTTATGAATGAAGACATACAAGCAGAACTATTTGTGCAAATCAACTACTCCCTCCGTAAAGAAATATAAGAGCGTTTAGATCACTACTAGCTAGCAACTAAAGCAATAGGAAGTATGGAGCCCTTTTCATCTGATGAATATTACTTAGTAGGAGCAAATAATAAGGTGCTGCCATGATCTTCTCAAAATTAGAGGCATAAATTCAATGTAAGTTACTGCAATAAAAATAATATTTACTACAAACATAATATTTCATCATTGCTGTTAACAAACCTTGACAAGTAAATACGCAACACACGTAGCTTCAGTTCACGATCAGTTTCTGAATCAGTTTCTTTAAATTCCATCTCTGCGAGGGCTTGTTCAGCATCATTATCATACTCTGGGTCAAACTCGTGTCTCTTTGCATTGTACCCACTCAATTCAGTTAAAGAAGGCCCCTCATCTGCAGAATATCTGGGTTTTTTCACGCCAATACTTCTATCCATATGACCATCTGGCACACGCAAATTGAACAGAACAAATTTCAATATATGATAATGCAGGAATCTGAAGAAATATAGTTGATTATCACAAATAGAAAGCAACTGCTTCCAAATCTATCTTTGGTAATATTTTGCAGACGGTATATTAAAATATAAGACCTTCAAGCATAAAAAAAATGTCTTTGTAATTGTGAAGCATGTCTCAAAGGGTGATATCTTGGGAAACCATAATAAGGAGTTTTATTTTGATTTAATCTGGCACCTGTCAGTGGTAATTGAACAATAAATGGACATTATTACTGATGGGAAGGCAATGCTTGACAATGAACGAATAACTGAAAATAGAAAATAGCCCAAATGCATCCATCTGGTCACCCATCAATGGTTTATATATGATCATACCTTCGACTTTAGATAGATTGGCACTATCTTTAAAATGCCCAACAGTTGAAGCTTTCTTATTTGCACCTGAAGCAGATTCAACGGATTAGCATAATCTGAATCATATTCTAATGACATAGACAAAGAAAATACTTAGGATTGGGTCTGTCAAATTCCAAAACATACCACCAGGTATGTGCGAAGGTGATCGACTGGCTGGACCTTCTCCAAGTGCATCTTCCATCCTATGCAAGGCATGAAGATAATGGTCAGTAAGTAGCCTATTGCGAAGTTCGGATACATGGTTATAAATATTCTAGAGCAAGAACAGCATACTTGATCCTGGAGGGAGAAAACGGTGACTCTGCCTTAGGTGTCAAATCCCCTGATAACAGTGGAATTCCTACATAAGAAAAGAAAGGAAACATGAGATCAAGACAATTAAATAAGTGAGATATCATATCTTAAGTCTTTACTGCCATTCTTCTTCATGTGATGGAGGCAACTACTCAGCATGCACTTTTTAGCACCCTCGCATTCAGAGCCATTACCAACAGAACAATGTCCTGCAGAACCTTTCTGTTATTTCATTATATTAGCTCATGCACTTGTGCAGATTCTTGTGTTCATGTCTGTGGTTCTGTGCATATGGACAAATTTTAGATATTAATAGTTAAGATATCAGAAGGGCAGAAACAACGCTACTGAATGTACTGTTATATCATCCTTTTAGAACAGATCTGTGCAACCAAAAACCAACTAAGTTCTCATCACCTATGAGAAATTAATATTTAATAACATATGTCAGCCTTCAAAATCCAAACCCAGCTTGTGTCGCCAATTAGACCAAATATTCAAGAAAAACTACAACATTTGGTTCCAGACATATGTCAGCCTTCAAAATCCAAACCCAGCTTGTGTCGCCAATTAGACCAAATATTCAAGAAAAACTACAACATTTGGTTCCAGCCTAAATAGATTTTCTTTGTCACCTTAAAAGATGTGACCATGACTTACCTTTTTTACTCTCACCCTGTACTTTAGCCATGGCAAGAAGTTCCTTCCTATTCTTGCCATTAACATGAGACATGTCCTACAATGATGAGGTAGCATTGAATTAAGTATCAGTTGTTTTCAACTCCACAAATTAACAGGTAGACAAAATGATTACCGGAAGGGGATAACAAGGTGAGTTCATATATGCAGTAGTATAATGCTCGATGCACTGTGCCTTGCTCTTAGTACCAACATGCTCCGCAACTTCAGCCCAGTTTCCCAGACCATACATTTCAATTCCCTACAATTATAAGAGTCAGAACCCACCATCCAGAAAGTGAACAGAACAGATGGATGCAGAAAATACCTCTAGAAGAAGGATTTCCTCATCCGCATTCCAATCTGGACAAATGAGTGGAAAAGATAGGTTGTCCTGTTGCAAAATTTCGGTTAAGTTACAGGATGCAACAAACACGGCAAGCATGACAATACAAAATACTTGAAGTGCTAAGGTGGAAAGTGGTTTCTTTTTTCCTCTTCCCTTTTCTTTATGAGAACTCTCCTCAAGATGACCTGGGTGTGCATGTATTAAGCGTCATATAGCCAGTTGCAATCAAGATGGTTGAGTAGAGAACCATGTAGAGCCAAACATATGATCTGAGTTCACACATCAGCTGATGACTTACACTTGTAAGTGTATTCAAGTTAAGAAGGGTGAAGCCTGAATGTGATGGGAATATACTAAGACAGTGGTCGTGTGGGTTGATTCAGCGTGGAGTGACACATTTCATCTTTTGGGTTTCCCGCCTTTTTGACCAAGTAACAATCAGTTCAGACTTACTATTCGAAGTGACATGTGGGATGCTAACCATGCTATACTAGCGCAGGTACTAACAGCCTGTTAAGTTCACTGCAGTTCAGATGTGGTAACTCCGCTGTTCTATAATACTGGTAGTCAGCTAAGCATGCATTTGTAAGCTAGAACGCTAAGTGAGCATAGTGCACTGACCATGACCCTGTAGGGGTGGTTGCTCCGGTGTGGAGTGACCTCGGCTCCGACGGAGAAGCACTCGACGCAGAGGTCAAAGTCAGGGCACTTGGAGCACTTGAACCGGATCTTCCCGGACAGGTCCTTGTTGCAGTAATTGCAGTGGTACAGCGCCTTCTTCCCATCGCCGGCTCCCCCGCACGCGGCGGATAGCGAGTCCGACGCATCCCCGGTCGAGGCAACCCTCCTCCGCTTGGACCTGCAAAGAACGGACAACGCATTACACCATTCGCTCGCAGCGAGGCTCGCTCGCAGGCAAGCAAGAGCGAAATGCGAAGCGGCGGGGAGAGGGGGGTAGCGGTACCTGTGGTTGGTGTCGTCGTCGCCGGAATTGGGCACCCCGCGGGACCGGCCCATCGCGGACCAAACCCTAGCGCAAACCCCTCGAAACCCTAACCCTAGCTCGAGCGGGGATCCGCTACCACGCCGCGGCCGGCCGCATCGAGCTGAGCAGAGCTGGGTGGGGGGTTGATCCGGGCGGGGGCGCGGACTAGGAGGACCGGGGGCGCCGGGGGATCTGCGGCGCGGCGGGGGTCGGGATTTGGCTGGGGCGGGGAGTCGGGGGGAAGACGACCACCATGGGCGACCGCGACGCAGCTACAGATCAGAGCCAGTAGTAGAGTCGGACTAGTATACTGCCGGCGCGAGAGCTGGGCCGTCCATCTGAGGCATCCGACGGCCGACGTCCTTCCGCGGACAAATCATGGGGATATCTCTTGCAGCCGCTCTGAAGCTTCGGGCTAGAGCTTTTTTTTCGGAGACAAACTTCGGGCTTCGGGCTAGAGCTGATCTGATGACGAAGAGTTTTCGGTGCAGAACTTGTTATTAGAGAATTTTTTTTTAAAATAAAAACTTGTTATTAGAGCGGGCGCCCCAAACCCGCTTGGCGGTCGACCCGATTAGTGACTGGTCACAAAAAAGCGACTCAGACGGGCTCCTTAAACGGGACTCAGACGCCCAGACTGACCGGCACCTCTCATATCCAGCCCAAATATGAGACGGTCGGGCGCGTCCGTCACGTCGGACCGGACAACCCAACTCCACCACAAATTGCAACAAAAATCCATCAAAACATCCCCCCTCCTCCCGCGTCCTTCCAACCTTCCGCGCGTTCGAACCCTCACCGTTCGCCACACTTGCTCCCCATCCTTATCACCGCCCTAGATGTCGTCCAGCATGTCCCCCAACTGCTGCGATAGAGGTTGCGTCCACCTTGTCCGTCGGCGTCCCATCCTCGGGTTCGTCATGCAAGCTGGAAAACATGGCCCGGAGGAACCAGAGCCGGTGACAGCGAAAGAGGGAAGCGGATGCGGACATGAACGAGCAGTTGTCCCCACCCACACACCCCCGCCCCCCGCGCCCGGAACCTCGCACCCCATCCATCCCACCGCCGACAAGGATTGCACCGTCGGACCAAGTTGGGATAGAGAGGATCCGACTGCCAGTTGGGGCATTCCGGAAAGCTTCCCGCCCACGCAGATGCCTCCGATAGACGTCCGCCACTCGTCGCAGCTCGTTCGGGCACCGACAAACACATGCACCGGCGGCGCCCAGGCTGCCCACGACATGTTCGACGGAATGACACAACAAGACTCGGTATGTTTTTGTTGCACCTGTCCGATTGCATATGCCATGTTCAATGTTTTGCATAGACCACTAGTTCATTTCGGACATGATGAATGCTTGCAAACCATGATCATTTAGGAATTGTTTATGTCGGACATGATCAATGATAATCAAGCTCCGACATGGACTACGAATTGGGTGATCCAAGTTGCCCTTATTTGAAGTTGGGACAACATCAAATCCCAAACCGACCAAGAAGAAGAAGAAGGCAAAGACAACAAAGGCAAGAGGTCTGGCATTCTCAACTCTTGAGAATATCTTGTTGGTCAAAGCTTGGTTGGCCATAACAATGGATCTAATATGCGGCACCGAGCAAAAGGGAAACAAGTATTGGGAGAAGATTTGAAAGGAATATCATGAACAAAAGGAACATGTGGAACTGCATCATACCATCACCAACCGCGATGTGGCATCTCTCCAACATCGATGGGGATCATTCAAGGAGAAGTGAACAAGTACGTCGGCTACTACTCACAAGTGATCGGCCGTCCTCAAAGTGGTATGGGAGTGGCAACTCACGTAAGTTACTTCATCTTGTCATCATTTGCGTATACTTGTTTTTTTATATTCTCATGCTCATACATATTTTTTTGTATACCAACCCAATACGAAACGAAAAAGAAGCCATTTGTCTTTAGCCATTGTTGGATCATATTGAATAGCCGGCCAAAGTGGACACAACTTGCAGCCGATCTCAAGGTCGGCAAGAAGAGGAATGATGACTCAAGCTCCCACCAATCAATTGGGTTGGTAGAAGAAGAGGAAGATGATGTCGTGGAGAATATAAGAGCCACCATGCCAAAGGATAACCAGCAAGTCATGAGAAACAAGTGGGAGAAGGCAAGGGCCTCCCATGACGCTGCGGCTACAAAAATGTCCTCCACATGGACATGCATTTTTTCTGATGAGGGAGTAGAAGAAAGAGGAGAGGTACAAGCTCATGTTGAATGCACAAAAGAAAAGGATGGATTTGGACCAAAAGAGGGCAAAGAAGAAGCTGGAAATTAAGACGGGAAAGTTCGAGTTGAAGAAGCAAGAGCCGGCGATCAAATGAGAGCTCGAGAAGGCCAAGACATTTGAAGAGATTTAGCTTGAGAAGGAGAGGCTGCAAATAGCACAGGGCACGAAGGATGCGAAGATCATGCTGGCGGATGAAAGCCTCTTGGATGACCATGCCAAAAAGTGGCTTGTGGAGAAGAAAAAAGAGATCAACAAGCGTAGGGACAGCGAGGCGACGATGGCGGCTATGGCAGCAACCGAGCATGCGGCAAAGGTGCAGGCGGAGCATGCGGCAAGGATGCAGGCGGAGCAGGATGCAAGGATGGCCCCGAAACAGGCGGCATGGATGGCGTCCGGCGAGTGATCCGGCCAATCAGTAACTGATCCGTCACGCACGGACATTGATTTGATTTGGCATGTCCGGATTGCTTTGCTTTGTTAAACTATGATTTGTTTTGCTTTGTTTTGAACTACTGAATTGGGACACATTGTATTGTATAATCGACATGCATGGATTTGAGGTTCCGAATTTAAGGTGTGTGGATGTGCGGCAGCCCATACGAGAGGCCGCCCGGTATTGTCCGTGGACATGTCCGGACGCGTATAGGGGGCGGATTTGCCAAGTCCGGCTATAGATGCTCTTAAATATTGTGCTTTTCTAAAACAGAGGTAAAAGTATTGCCCCGCCATATTAGTTCAGAAGAGTTTTACAAAGGAACAAAACATTGGGTCTCATAGAGTGTATGGTTTACTCAATCTCTTAGCGCCTACTAGTATAACGCGCAAAAAAAACCGACACTCTATATAATGGAGACGTTCCTAAAAACTCTTGCATTACGCTCATTCTAAATGTCTCATGAAATATGCATAAAGAAAGAAGCAAATCCCTTTTTCTTATGATGTCGATGCCTTTTGGCAGTTGATGTTGGCCATGGAGAACCACCAATCAGTGGGGAGAAGAAAGTTATCTCAATCTTGGCCATGGAGAACCACCAATCAGTGGGGAGAAGAAAGTTATCTCAATCTCCCATGCGCAAATCCACCATCTCGAGCCAAAGCTTGATCCGCTCCCAAATGCGTATGGTATATCTATATTTGAAACACATGTGCGCATATCTCTTGTATTTCTTTACAGAGGGAGTATTTTTGAAGGAATGTCATCACAGATCACTACTTTGATCTAAACGCTCTTTTATAGAGGGAGTAATAGTTAGCGCGTGTTACTTTTTCTGTCTAAGTTCATTAGTCCCCTCTTATATTTTGGGTAAAAACTTCTTTCAAATATGAATCCAGCAGTATAATTTTTGTGGCATATAACTTATACTCTATTCATTTCAAAATATAAGGTGTGTTAGTTTTTTAAAAGTCAAACGTATGCATGTTTGACCAAGTTTCAGAAAAAAGTATTAATATCTATAACACCAAATTTGTATCTTTAGATCCGTCTTGATTTTTTTTCATATTTTCTTTAGTTTGCATTGAGGATGTTGATATTGTATTCTAAAATCCTGGTCAAACATACACTTCTTTTACAGGCAACGGCAAGCGTTCTGCCAATTCATCTATATCTATACCAATATAAAAAGACCTAAAGAGGCAGATCCAAAGCATCTCGGTCGTCAAATCATGTTATCTAACGGTTTAAATCACTTTAATGTTGAGCACCAAACATGTTTAACGCTCTAATTACCCACCACAGCCATTTGTTGGAATTTTGCTAGTAGGCCTTTGGCCCAAAGCCCAACTAAAATTCTGAAATTCTCTTGACCCATTCATGCATACATGTGAGTGGAGTGAGTGAGGCTAAAATTTAGTCCCACCCCGGAAGTTGAGAGAGAGTTGCACCTTTTTATAAGGTGAGCTCTTCTACCACTTGTATGAGCATGAGAAGAGGAGATCTACCCGCGCGCTCCTCCTCCTCGCTCGCCTCGCCTCGCCTCGCCGCGGGTTGAGGGTTGCGGGATTGAGCCGAGCCGAGGACAGAGCTATGCACATTGTCTATATTTTTACTGCTCGGGAAAAATTAATGAGTCATTAATTAATAATTAACGGACGCGTTAATTACTGAACCATTTCCGATATTTTTGGATCGTGACGACTCGGACGTGGGGTTTACTCCCACGACCTACCCGGCCCGCACTATATAGTCAGGCAGACGTCTACCCTAGCCGCCGCCGCTTCGTATGATTTCTCACCACTGTTCCAGATCATTGCGCTGCCAAGCAAGTCTTCTCCATCCCTCCTTTCGGCATGCACCGGGAGAAGGGACAGCAGGCCTCCGGAACCCCGCCTCTCGTGATCCTGTACGGGAGAGGGGCGGCCAGGATTTTGGGGAGCGCACTCGCGCGACTTCTGGCAGCGACGACTTCGCGAACAACGACTTCTTCCCTGACCTCGGCAACCTCATCCTCGACGACATGGGCGACAACGTCAACGCCGGCGGTGCTGCTCCCGCTGCACCGTATTGTTGGAAATATGCCCTAGAGGCAATAATAAATTAGTTATTATTATATTATATTTCATTATTCATGATAATCATTTATTATCCATGCTAGAATTGTATTGATAGGAAACTCAGATACATGTGTGGATACATAGACAACACCATGTCCCTAGTAAGCCTCTAGTTGACTAGCTCGTTGATCAATAGATGGTTACGGTTTCCTGACCATGGACATTGGATGTCGTTGATAACGGGATCACATCATTAGGAGAATGATGTGATGGACAAG